TTTTAGTTTTTTCAGTATCACATAGAAAACATTATCGCTTTTTGTCTGTGAGTTAAAGAGGAGCACACCTTGAAGAGGGCAGCACATTATTATTATTATTTATTAATAACAACAGAAACCAGGAAGCCATTTTAGCCTACTCGGTGGCCTCAGTGGCCTTACTAACCGTGTGTGTCTCCTCCAGGTGTGGTTCAAAAACCGCCGGGCCAAGTGGCGGAAGCGGGAGCGGAACCAGCAGATGGACCTGTGCAAAAACAGCTACCTGCCGCAGTTCAGCGGCCTCATGCAGCCTTACGACGACATGTACCCGGCCTACACATACAACAACTGGACCAACAAGGGCCTCACCCCGGCGCCTCTGTCCACCAAGAACTTCACCTTCTTCAACTCCATGAGCCCCCTCACCTCGCAGTCCATGTTCTCGGCGCCAAACTCCATCTCCTCCATGAGCATGGCGTCTGGGATGGGCCACTCCGCCGTGCCGGGCATGCCCACCCCGGGTCTAAACAACATCAGTAACCTGAACGGGATCGGCACGTCCGGCATCAACTCAGCCATGTCGTCGTCCGCGTGTCCGTACGGGCCTCCCGGCTCTCCGTACACCGTTTACCGGGACACTTGCAACTCCAGCCTGGCCACCCTCAGACTCAAATCCAAACAGCATCCAACCTTTGGATACAGCGGCCTGCAGAGCCCCGGCTCGAGCCTGAACGCGTGTCAGTACAACAGCTGACGGGCCAAACGCGGGGCCTTCATGTTACCAATATAAATATGTATGTGAGAAACGGACACGGTGTCGAGAGCGCTACCTGCGGAAGGGGACAACAAAGACAACTAAACTGGACGAGTTGCAAACATTTTTCAAAAAAGAAAAACAGGATTATGCGGGTTATATGTGTTTACCAATGAACTTGCACAGCAGTTGAAATGTCCAGGTTTTTTGGATTTTTTAAATGATGAAGACGTGTTACCTTGCTGCATTGTACATGTATAAATGTAAATATATACAGGTCTAACATATTAAACACGATGGGATTTTTTTTTTTGTGCGCATGTTTGCTTTTGAAGACTGACCCGACCAACATAAGGATCTAAACAATGTCGTGCTTATTAAGAATCCAGACTCAGTGAGAGAAAAGAGGACCTCTAACCTGTACATATTCTATACTGCTTCCGTGTGCTTTCTATGCAGGGTGCCACCACGACGCCTCCCCTTCACTGACTGTCAACTGTTTTTCACTTTGTTTATTCCAATAGAAAATCCCGCATGTTTACCTTGAGTGCAACGTGTTTTGTACGTTAATGTAAGACTCTGCAGACGTTCATCAGTCTAAGCTGTATACAAAAGGTGATTCAAAGTCCTCATGTGTTTATGGTAACGTTTGTTTGAATAAACTTCAGGAAAAGAGAGGTTTATTTCAAGTATGTTTCAGGCGAGTCTTTGTGTAACGAGAGGAGCCGCGGTTGTCCACTTTCCCCCAGGAAGGAGCGAAATAAAGAACTTGGCTAAATATCCGCAGCATATTGATCCACTCAGTTTAAAAAGATTATCTCAGAATAGAAAGAGGTTTAAGGATCACTGGGACTAGCCAGTAGTGATCTGGGCTTTAGCAAAGTATGACTTTTTACTTTTATGATTTTTAAACGATTTATTTTCGTTATTACATCAGACTTTTTTCACATTTTGCAAACTTCCAGACCTCATCTAAACTTCTGTAGGAATTAAGGTAACTGTCTAAAGCCTTTTAATATTATGCTGTGGTCATTTTGTGAGAGTGACCGTTATATTTTTCCCACTCAGGGACAAAATAGTCCTCTGGTGTGATGTATTTTCTAAGGATTTATGATTATCTTTATTTGATCGTGGCCCTCACCACACTACAATAACACACAAGATTAAATTTGGGCTCGTTCAGGCTGAGGTTTGGCAGGAGCCCACTTCTCTTCGTGGGTCCAACCCCGTCTTAAGTAAAACACTGGTCTGATGATTAAACGTAACCTGCAGTTTTGACATGAAATAACAGGTTATACGTGAGTGGGAACCGTTTATTTTCTCCGTCTATTTGAGCTGTGAAACAGAAGTTTGTCCGTGAAAATGAATTCAATCAGTGCCCTATCTTGTTTTCTGACACCTGCACAAATCTCCATATCTATATTACTCCCCATTAGGCTGATATTAGCGCGCTGCACAGTGACTGTGCGCCTTAACTGATAGTGCGCTGTGAGGGAGGATGTTAAGATTAGAGGCAACGCTTTAATAAACCATCACAGGTAGAACAGTCTTCAAATGACTAGTAAAACTGTCTGTGATACGGGAAGAATTAACACACGGTTTAAATGCTGCTGCTGCAGGTCTACGGTGTGACAGCGGGTAAACCACAGCGAGCTGATCCTACCATCAGTGTCTGGACTCCAACGTTTATAGCCCCTCGTTCCTGCTTTACATGTTACATGTACTTAAAAGTAACTTTATCTTTACTGCATTGTGCACCCTGTTGTATTAGCGCTCCCGTAATACTCCTACAGAATATTTTAACCATAACCTCACAGCAAATCCTAACGGTGGCACTTTGGTAATTGTTCTCCTACTATCGCTATTGCTTTTGTAACATTTTACCATGGCTTGTAGTGTGTCTGTGGCACGTAACTGGTTTATTAAACTCAAGTTGTCTTTCTGGAAAATTTTCTTAAACTGATATTCCTATAAAATCTCACAATAGCTCCTGACACTCCAAAAGTCAGTTTTCTCACGGTGGCTTCTTTGTGATCATCCTCTTAAAGAATCTCAATAATAGTCTTAATATTTTATTTTTATTTGCAGTGTGTCTGTGACAGCAATTTAAACTTAAAGGTGCCTTTGGAAACATAGTAGGGACCATAATATTCATATTATATTTGACCATAAAAACATTGTGTGTGACACACAAAAGCGAGTTGTGTCACCTTATGGTGGCATTTTGGAAATAAACTTCCCATAATACATCTAAAATACTCCAATAGCCTAATACTTCATATTTGCTTGATATTTACAGTGAGTTTACATTAAACCTAAAGTGCCTCTAAAGTCTCTTACCATAGTGTGTCTGGCATTCAAATGAATTGTTTTGACCTAATGGTGTTTTTAGCATTTCAATACTAAGCTCATATTTTATCTTGGCTATATTTTTCTCGACTTAAAAGTGACTTATTTACTCTAGAGTTTCTCCTATAGTAACTTTACATATTTTTATTGAACCTTAAAGTATCAATATGTCAAAGTGAGTTTATCTGGCTGCTTTTTGGGGCCAATTTATCTCATAATGGCTCAATAATATTTTATTGTAACATGTAGGCTGGTGAATCTGTGGCCCTTAGATGAGTTTATGACTATGTAGAGAAGATGATTTTAACATTGTGAGCCTGACACCCCAGTATGCCAATATCTAGTATAACACTGGCATCTTCTGTGACATCTGTAATATTTAAGGTTCGTTTGTTTTAGCCCCCATAATAATAAGAAATCTTTTATAATAGCGGCTGTTTCTATTCCTATAACTCAGGGGTGGCCAATCCCGGGTGTCGAGGGCCACTGCCCTGCTTGTTTTCCATCTATCCCTGCCCGCTGCTGATGACCTGGATCAGGTGTGTTCACTCAGTCAGAAGCTGGAAGATACCAATTCACTTCGCCTTTCCTCACGCCGCCTTCATTTAAGATGGTATCCTCCAGTTTGAGATCGACTGAACATACCTGATCCAGGTAAGCAGCAGTGGGTAGGGCAGGGAGGGTTGGAACCCGAGCAGGGCAGCGGCCCTCGGGGACCGGGATTGCCACTATAACTCTGTAACTTTAATTCTTTCACAGGATCGCTGAAGGCTTTTATCACGGAGCTTCTTCATTCACAACAAGTCACAACAGTAACACTAGCGGTGCGCGCGGCTGCAAATTCTTTCCTTGGGCGCGCCCCCGTGCACGGTAGTGGGAGAAAGTTTACTCAGGGCGGGCATGCGCACTGGCTGAAATTGCAGCTATCCGCTTTGATTTTGAAAAGTCTGACGGGAGGACGAAGCGTGCCCGCGGCCCCGAGCCATTCTTAAGAAAAGCAAAGCGTGCACACTGTAAATGTTACCCATAATACTTATAAATAAGACAGCGCCGCACCGTGAACGCGCCTGCAGATAGAGGGCAAAGTTTAACACGCAGCTTTATAACCGGTAAACTAGTGTTTCTCTGTAACGAGTCCTCCACTTCCTAAGATTTATTAGAGAACAGAATAGGTTGGACAGCTGTGTATGTTTTGGATATCTCTCACATCAAAACCACTTATGAGTACACAATGACAATTCTGTGCACAAGTGTAAGAAAATATCAACTACAGATGAAAAGATGAGAACAAGTTAGACAAGAAATTCATCAAATCCTATTTTAATCATTAAATAACCGAGTAATTTATAAGAAGAAAGGCAAATTTCTTCTGGTTCCAGCTTTCAGTTGTGAAGATGTGCTGCTTTGCTGTGTCTTACCTCACTGTAAATTTAATGTTTGTTTTTTTATGTTTTGCAAGACTGGACTCAGCAAGTATTGCAAATTAACTGCAATGTAAAATGAAGATGAAATGCAACAAGACTCCACACTATTGCTACCGGAAAAACTCAAGCAGCAAACCTTGGTTGTAAATGCATACCTCAATTTTAATATGTAGATGAAAATACTGGTTTTTCACAAGGCCCCTACAGAATCTAACTGTGCTCCGGCCACACTGCTGTTCTGAGATAAATCTGGATTACCAGCCAGACAAAACCCCAGGGGCTCAAAACTTAAATGCACCACGAGTCAGTTGGTTTATGATCAAGAAATGCACAAAAGCAGCTCTTGCATTTTGGCCCTGGTGTTGTAGCCGAGTCATCAAAGCCTGACTTTTGTTATTTTACTTTTCACTGGTGCACATTCTTTAATAGGCTGTGTTTAATTAATTAGATTAGCTAACCGTAATCTCGGTGGAAGGGTACGCACGATGCACAGAGGGTGTTAGGTGGTGAGTCAGTAGGGGCTTATGTTTTGCCCTGGTGTCCCCTAAGGGGTAACTGTGTTTATGAGAGAATCAAATATGCTCAATGGCTGCATATTTAGCAGACATCCCTGTTTTTATACACAAAACCAAAAATAATGTACCCAAAATTTTAATAAAGTGACATTTACAATCCAAATCAGTGTCACAGGGGTTGATATGTATTTGTGTTTTTACATTAAAAGTGAAATGCAAGTCCTGTAGCAGTGTCTTTTGTGTGGGAAACTCTTTGGAGCCACAGTTACATGTCGGAACCAATTCTTATTGTTCGGGTTGTTCATTATGGCTCCAACGGCTCCAACATGAGCTTTCTGCATTGTTTTTTGTGAGATGTTTAAATGGACATCCACAAATGACAGTCGTGTCTTTAGCACATTAACACATGTATATATGGGGGCCTTTTCTTTTTAGGAGGGTCTATAACCAAAAACAACTACAAAACAAGAAAATAATCCAGATTATTGTGGCAATGGCAAACAAAAGTCAGGTTTGGGGAGTTTTTCTAAAGCTTGTGTGTATTTTGTGGTGAAAATGGTATGGAGTTTTTAGCACTTGGACATGTGTCACCCATCACAAATGAACTGAAAAGGAAAAAAGGCAGCTTTCCTGTTGTGTGTGCTAGCCTGCTACAAAATGCAAAACATCTGCTGCAGTTATCCGGGGATCTTAAAGTGCTCTGCACGGACAGAATCAGAAGACAGAGCTTTTAAACAATGTATAATTTGTCAAGGTTGTGTGAAGACCACATCTAACACAGACCAAAACACACCTAAACTATTGCCCCCTAGCTCAAAGCATCCCACAGGTGGGATGGTTTGAAGGAGGCAGCCCCCACCCTCACTGTCAAGACTGACAGCCTTCATTAAGGTGAGACAGCTACTAGCCACAATTACATATCACTGAAACATCTGACAGGCAGAAAACCACTACATGTATATAGCAACAGGCAGAATGTCACCATATTTCTCTGACTGGCACTGAAAATTCTGTACAACCCCGCCCATCTGGTGCACCCTATTTAACAAAACAAGAGCTGCTAAACCAACCTTAATGATGGCTGCAGTGCTGCTGGGCTTCTGATGCCAGGCCTCTGAAACAACTCATCCTGAAACCTGCATGACAGCTGCCGCATCCTACAAACACAGCAAGTCCTTGTTTACATCCAAACATGTAGTTTATCCAGAAGAACATTCCCAGGCTCTGTGATATAACAATACTGGCCCTGTAATCAAACAATAGGAGTAGGGACCTTTATCCTTTTTTAAGGAGAGTGACAGTTACAGTATATCTCTGCTGCACCCCAAAACAAGTCAGCCATCCACACAAATCAGCATTTTGGATGTTGTTTCTAATCTTCCATTTCTATTAGTTTTTGCCTGGTATGATAGTAAAACTGCAAAAAACTATGATCTTCCAATCAATCAATAAAAGCAGAAACTTACTGTGATTGATGACCTTTTATAAATTTATTTCCAGTGGGTTTCAAGTCTATGCAGACTGATTTTGGTACCATGCTAAAAAAAATCAAACAAAAGCTACAGCTGCTTGGAAAATAGAAAAAAAAGTACGGTGGTACTGTTTTTTTGTTGCACTGTACAATATACATGTTTTTAATAAATGACAATTAATTTGCTGTCTAGTGCTGTGTTGCTAACGCTGATGTTTGGGAGTGGAAAACCCCTCTTTTACAATTTTTCAAAGCTCAGACTTGCAGAGAACAAAAACCGCTTCATGCAGAAGTGAAGCAACAGGCTGAATCCTGAAGTGCTTCTCACATTTGATTGCTTTTGGATTACTGTTGCCATGAAACTCATATCACAAACAGTAACTCAAGATGTTGCACATTTTGCTTGCTTCAAACACACTGAGTTATAGCATAACCCTTTTCAGTTTTTACTCCAGTTAAATCACTGTTTGGCTTTCTGTCCAGTGTCGTGTGTCATTGTGGCACAGACTCACCGCAGTTTAGCTAAACTGTCATGGGTTATAAAGCTTTGGTAACTGCCAGTAGTGAGTTTCACGACTGACCACTTCTGACTTGCAAGCTGCATATACTTCAAGTCACATGTCAATTTGTCCTTATACAACTGCTGTCCAAGCTGGAATTTAAGAAATACAATCCAGATCAGAAAACTTAGGATCTGCTTAAGAAATTTAGAAATAATTTTGCTGATTAAATGCAAACGGTTACAGGTTTCAAGAGTCAGATTTAATACACTATCCCACTTTTAGCTCCAGGTGAGGGACATGTTACTGCTTCAACATACAGTCATGTTTTAGACAGCAGTGCGCTTCAGACAGTTTGGGGAAGGCTCTTTCCTGTTGACAGGGTCCATGACAGTGGCCCATGCACGTAGAAGCTGTTTTTCTAGTTTGGTGTGGAAGAACTGGATGAGCATGCACAGAGCCGCAATCTTAGTGGTCGACCTCAGTAATGCTCTGCAGCCAGGTTTCCCAGCTGTCCCAGAGGATTAACATGGTTCTTGAATGAAATACTCTATCCAGTACAGGTGTAATATTCAGATGCACACTTTGTATAATTTGTACAGGAATGATATGATAGCAGACATACTTCATGAAGTTTACACTGTAATGAAGTGCTAGCTTTTTTTT